TGGGAATTGCATTGTTTTATATTTTATATTATTTTGTTTCCCTTTACCGAAAGAAACAATAATATTATATTAAACTTTGAAAAAAGGTAAATTAAATTATTAAATTAAACTATTTAACTAAACTATCTGAGAATTTTTCTTCTTGGTTCTTTCGGTAAAGTCACGTAGAAGGGAAGTAATAAAATAATAAAAATAAATAAAACATAATAAAATTATTACTTCCCTTCTACGTGACTTTACCGAAAGAACCAAGAAGATGAATCCCTGCAGTCACGAAAGCTTTAAATCGATATTTTTACTATGTTCATTTGTGAACATTCATATGAAATTAATGGGTGATTTCCTTCAGATGCAGGCTTCAGCGGTAGAGGGATCAGCTCTCAATCTCAAGGTCGTGAAATTCAAATCCTGATTGGGGATTGACTCAGTCCATTTTCCCTCTGGGGTTAGTAGAGTTATTCTTGGTTCTTTCGGTAAAGTCACGTAGAAGGGAAATAATAAAATAATATAAATATAAAACAATAAAAATTCTCACGACGTTTCGACCGCAACACAAGCAATCATCATCAGGTGTGAAATCCACTTTTTTCAAATTTTCTTGCTGTGGATTTCACACCTGGTGCTGGTTGCTTGTGTTGCAGTCGAAACGTCGTGAGAAATGTTTTTGTTTTTTATTTTTATTGTTTTATTATTTCCCTTCTACGTGACTTTACCGAAAGAACCAAGAAGATGAATCCCTGCAGTCACGAAAGCTTTAAATCAAAATAAAAAATTGAGTTTATATTGGTTCTTTCGGTAAAGTCACGTAGAAGGGAAATAATGAAATAATAAAAATAAAACAAAATAAAATAATTCTCACGACGTTTCGGCCACAACGCAAGCAGCCGTCCTCAGGTGAAGAACAGGTCTGAATGTTTCATTCAGTCGCTGTCTCCCCGACAGACCTGTTCTTCACCTGAGGACGGCTGCTTGCGTTGTGGCCGAAACGTCGTGAGAATTATTTTATTATGTTTTATTTTTATTATTTCATTATTTCCCTTCTACGTGACTTTACCGAAATAGCCAAGAAGATTTATAGTTTAGTTTTGAAAGAATCTCACGGCCTTCGCCGCATAAACCCGTCGGCGTTGGTGACAAGTGTCGCTGCAAAGACATGAAACGAATCCGCGACGAAATGAATGATCGATTGTGTTAATGATCTATCGTGTTCATGATCGATTGTCAATGCGGAAGAAAGCCAATCGGCGTCAAGGGGGGAGAGGCTCAGGTGGGAGGGGTCAGTTTGTCCATCCAGACATCACGTGACGGGGGACGCTGTTTGTCGATTTGAAAAATGTTTTATTCAAAACGCCGCAGCTCAATCCGAGCTCCAACAAATAAGACGCCGGTAAATAAACATGTCGCAGTTCATACGTGTTGACACAAATAAGACAACGGTAAATAAACATGTCGCAGTTCAATCCGAGCTCGATCCGTGCTCGAACACACAGACACAGGCAGAGCCGGCCCAGCCACTAAGCGACCCTTGCAATTGCAAAGGGCCCCGTGGCCAGCAGAGGGCCCCCTAGAGTCACTGCTAGCGAGTGGGTGAAAAAAATCATACATCAAAGGGGCCTCCAACCAAATTTTGCTTAGGGCCCCCAAAGGTCTAGGGCCGTTTCTGGACACAGGGACAGGTGAATTCAAATGTTCGACCTGAGCTCAAACACAAAAGACACATGGTGATGACGGTGGTGGTGGTGACGATGGTTGTGATGTTGATGACGGTGGTGGTGATGATGGTGGTGATGTTGATGACGGTGATGATGGTGATGATGACGATGATTGTGATGTTGATGACGGTGGTGGTGGTGATGATGATGGTGGTGATGTTGGGTGGTGGTGATGATGATGGTGGTGACGATGGTTGTGATGTTGATGACGGTGGTGGTGATGATGGTGGTGACGATGGTTGTGATGTTGATGACGGTGGTGGTGATGATGATGGTGGTGGTGATGGTGGTGATGTTGATGACGGTGATGATGGTGATGATGACGATGATTGTGATGTTGATGACGGTGGTGGTGGTGATGATGATGATGGTGATGATGATGGTGATGATGATGGTGGTGATGGTGATGTTGGATGGTGATGATGATGATGGTGGTGACGATGGTTGTGATGTTGATGACGGTGGTGGTGATGATGGTGGTGGTGATGGTGGTGGTGATGATGATGATGGTGGTGATGATGATGATGGTGGTGATGGTGATGTTGGATGGTGGTGATGATGATGGTGGTGACGATGGTTGTGATGTTGATGACGGTGGTGGTGATGACGGTGGTGGTGATGATGATGATGGTGGTGATGATGATGGTGGTGATGGTGGTGGTGGTGATGATGGTTGTGGTGATGGTGATGATGGTGGTGATGGTGGTGGTGGTGATGATGATGGTGGTGATGGTGGTGGTGGTGATGATGGTTGTGGTGATGGTGGTGATGGTGGTGGTGGTGATGAT